CTCCAGGACTCAGCCATGATGGAGACACAAAGAGGACAGCCTCAGGTTTATCTGCAGGAGAGAGATATTGTAGGAATCAAACCATAGATACAGTGATTTTCTGTTTCTTCATTTTATTTGAATTAAATCTTTTTCTTTATGAATGAAGTCAAGGAGATTTTCCTATAACTTCATTTGTTTGATTGACTCTTGAGAGATATTTCCTCATGTCAGCATGAATTGAAAACAATCTGACTCACGCAACCCTCTGAGTCTGAAGACTTTACTCCATTCTGTCAGCAGGTAGACACCTGTAGCCCGACACCTGTAGTCTGCATCATCAGCTGATTGGTTCCTGTATTTACTGGATGTTTGTAAGTCTTTGTTGTATCTTCTCCATTCATACGTCCACTGAGTTCCTCCTCCTCCCTGGATCTGACATGTGAGACTGACCGTCTCACCTCTGAATATCTGAGGCTGGTTGGGTTTCAGGATCACACTGGGTTTAATGGAAACTGTTCACACAAACAAATATTGGCCATGAATATTACAAAACAAAATAGCTTATATCCCAATGAAATCCCCACACATCTGAAAGAAACATTGTTCCTTCCTTATAYCAAAAATTCAAAATTTATAAAAGAAAAACAGAAAAACAGAAATATTTCAGGACAACAGAAAAAGGCAGTAAGTTACTGTAAATTTAGAGAATTCAGATAATTTTGTTTCTGACCCAAACTTCTTCTAAATATAAACATAAAGTGACATAAWCCACTTCAGTTTTCTGATTCTTAATGGTTCATTTAAAGTCTGTAAAWGTGAGATATTTTCCCCAGGAAATGTATGATCAGGGTGCTGTCTCAAAAAAGTTACTTTGATAAAAGAATTAAAGTAAAAACATTGAGATTTTTTTATGAATTGAAGTAATATAACTTCCATTGAGAACAAACTTTACTCATTAAAAATACCATGTTAAAAACAAACTAGAAATAAAGCAGAAAAAGGTTCTAAATCATAAAGATTTTACAACTCAAANGGCTAAAAGAATTGACAAAATCCTACACACTGTGCCTTTAAAACCTGCAATATTTTGTCTAATAACATTTTAAAGCTGCCCTCTATGGGTTGAATAGTGATACTGCAGTTGAATTTTCTTATTGGTTAAAACAGTGCTATTGTCACAGGAGTTTTGTTATAAAAGTCTCTCACTCATGCTATGTTCACACTGAACGCGTTGTGAGCAGCCAAAAAGTGCAAAATGTCTCTCATTGGACGCACTATTTTCAGACCGAAGAACGCACTAGTGTTCATACCAGAACAAGCAGCAGCAGCGAGGTGTGGGAGGAGCGTGTCCTCGGCGGGTGAAATAAAGATATAAAGAAAATGGCTTTGATTTATTTACTAAAAAGCAAGCGAACGTTGTGCACAGCAGATAATGAACTCACCAGATGATTTAGAGGCGATTTGTTTGGTTAGTTTCGTCACTCCAGAAGCTGCCAGCTGACAGACTTTTTCCTTTTTTTGTCCCGAGCAGCTGATCCACATTGGTGCTGACATATCCTGCCAGAAAATCCAACTGCACACGGTCGATTTCAGGTAAAGATCTCCAGTCTGTATGTTTCGGTTTTCAGTGGGAGACGCGTCGAGCGGCGAAAAGTTCAGATATTTGAACTCTGGCGGCGGCTCTGGCGGTGGCTCGGGCGGCGGCGGCGGCGGCGGCTTCCGCAGCACCGCATGCACGGAAAACGCTCTGCGCCCCTTCCGCCTTCCTTGCGCGAAGCCCAAAACATGCGTGACGCGATGCACGACCCCTAGAGGCGCGTCCTCCATAGACTTTGCATGTAAATCGGCCACTCCTGCCGCTCAAAACGCATTCGGTGTGAACGTAGCATCAGACACGCCCCTGCAGCAAGTCAGGGGTTGGATAAGCTAGCACCATGGAAGTTACTTACTGCTTTGAACATTAGCATCATTTTAACACACACACACACACACACACACACACACACACACACACACACACACACACACACACACACA